ACACACTAAACTCTTGTGTTGGATTGCAGTTGCGGTGTTTGGTTCAAAAAAAACTTAGTCGCATTTCAAAGCAGCATCTCGCATACTTGCTTTGATGATTGCAATAGTGATGGCAACTCATACATAAAAGTTATTTCTTAATCTTATTGGTGATGTTCACAGTAGCAAAAGGAGCTGCTGTCTGTGTGTTTGGTGACCCTTTTAAACACTTAACTGCTGACTGGAAAGCAGAGATGGTGAAATGGGCCCCAATCACAATTTTTTTGTTCATTAAAAACAACAGCATTGATTTTCCCAGGTCACAGCTAGGCCATTTCATGCAGCAAATCTGTGTTGAAAGGGATCCGAGTAATCATTTTTTACACGCTTGACTACCACGTGCTGGCACTGAGCTTTCGACCGCATGAATATAGGAATGATTTAATAGAGGAAGTAGCAGTGGGCTATTGTGCATGTTGAAGGCTCTGTGGAACATGCATGATTGAGTTGGACACCATTAGACTACTTGTAAATAAAACCTGCTAACTTGGCTGGCTAGGAATTCGCTTACAGGAACACAATTGCCACTAGCTTGTCTGGACCCTACCCCTTCTCTTTCAGGAAAGCTGGGAAAGGGACTGAGCTAATTCATTTTTTTTAAGGCATGCCTTGGACAATAACCAGCTCAGAATCATCTCCATACACAATAGCATTAGACAACTGGCATAGTAACAGTGTGTTGAAATCCAGCCCCAGTGAAGATAAGCATGGGGGTGAGGAGGCGTGTTGCTATTCAATGGCTGGCTAGAGATGTGTAGCTGTTGGACACTGTCTGCTGTGACCGACATCTTCTCTGGGACTTCTCCCAAATTACTTGTCAATCTGCCATGCTCAATGAGGGACTGCCTCCTGACATTGCACCAGTACTGCTCATTTACAGACTCTAAATGATCTGCCTCAAAACTAATGACGCTAGACCAGGGAACACAGGGCGGTTGTGGGAGAGGTTGGGGGTGATGGCAGAAAGCATTGCTTGGTACAATTAAACAACTGATAAAATAATGGCAGATAAAAATGTGGGGGTTTTATTAATGGAGATTTTACTCAGTTTCCCCCATGTGAAATGATGTTCAGTGCTGCCTCCCTCGTCTCAAATAATGCATTTATGTCACACTGAATACATGAACAATAAAAGAATTGTCCACATTATTGGTCAGTCTAGAGAAAATAGTCATATTGTAAAAGTTTTATTTCATGAGATACTCCAGCTATCCCCAGCAGGGATGCTACTATCCTGCTTGCAGATGCAAACCTGGAGTTCATTGGAGTATGATAACAGAATAGAGAGCAAGTAAAAAATACAGAAAATGGTCAACACATACAAAATACTTTCCACACTCTTATATCTATCTGATCATAGCCTTTTATCCTCTTTCTTTGTCTCCATCCCACTTTGGGTGTCTCTTTCCAATTGGCTCCCCAGATCTTTGCTGTTTGGTGATAAACTCACACCCAGTTACTTGTCTTGCTGTTCCATTCTGATCAGCAAATCTGGACCCCTAACACACTGTGTCCCACCCTTACAGTCCTCATTTAGACATTTGCCACACGGTTCTTACAAAAAACAAAACAAACCACCCTTCTGTGCATCAACTTTCTATTTAAAACTCTTGCCCAAGCATGTTCCTATATGCCCTAGTTTGCTCCTCATGTAAATTCTTATCTGCTTTTAGCTATCATATGCTGTTTGTCTCACGATTCCATGACTCCATATCTTGAGTCCCCTTGATTAATTAGAAAATGATATGCTATCCATATAAATATATATAAATATATATATGGGGATATGGCCATGTTATTCTAATCTTACACTTTACACCAATTCCTTATGATTATCACATTTATTCATTGGCTGTTGCTATCCTGTCTGCACCTACAAGGACTTCAGCTATCAGCCATGTTACCAAGCTCAAATCAAGGTCAGCACTCAGATGTTCTTATTCATGTAGCAGGGCTTTAAATGCTGTACCATAACCTGTTGCAATATGATTCTGACTCTTTCAGGGTAGAATCAAATTACTCCACTCCCCCTTTATGAGGGAAGGTTTGGATTCATGAGAGCCAGTGTGGTATTGTGGTTAAGAGCGGTAGTCTGCTAATCTGGGGAACCGGGTTCGCGTCTCCGCTCCTCCACATGCAGCTGCTGGGTGACCTTGGGCCAGTCACACTTCTCTGAAGTCTCTCAGCCCCACTCACCTCACAGAGTGTTTGTTGTGGGGGAGGAAGGGAAAGGAGAATGTTAGCCGCTTTGACACTCCTGAAGGGGAGTGAAAGGCGGGATATCAAATCCAAACTCTTCTTCTTCTTCTATGGTTGTTTACAATTACCTTTGCCCATAGAAAAAGGCACCAGGATGGGTCATAAGGTAGAAATACTAGAAAACGGAATCAAAGATGGATACGAGTTGTTGTTTTTTATGAGACACATAAGAAAAGCCTGCTGGATCAGGCCAATGGCCCATCTATTTCAGCATCCTGTTCAGATGCCTATGGGAATCCTACAAGCGGAACTTGGGTGCAACAGCGCTCTCCCTCTTGTCATTCCTAGCAACTGGAATTCAAAGGCATGCTGCCTCTAGCAGCGGATTGGAGCCATTGATAGTCCTGTTCACCATTAATATACCTAATCCTTTTTAAAAGAAGTACTTCCTTTTGTGTGTCCTTAGTAGTTCAGGGTTGGATGACTCCAAGTATTATAAGAAAGGGAGAAAAAACTTCTACAGTGGTACCTCTGGTTACAAACTTAATTCGTTCCGGAGGTCTGTTCTTAACCTGAAATCATTCTTAACCTGAGGTACCACTTTAGCTAATGTGCCGCCGCGCCACCACTGCACGAATTCTGTTCTCATCCTTCCAGGCTAGTGGAGCCTGTAACCTGAAGTGTTTGTAACCCGAGGTACCACTGTATCTGCTTTCAACTTACCATGCATAATCTTATACAACGTGGTTGCATATCCAACCCCTTCCTTGTCTTTTTATTGTAACTTTTTATTGTGGTCATTAAGTTTGCACCCCATAGCTGTGGCATTACCCCTGTGGTGTAACTGAATATTATCACATGTTGTCCATTGTTGTTTTAAAGTTGCCCAGGTTTCTTGTCTTGCTAGACTTTTCACAACCAATGCATCTGAACCTTAAAAAACAAATTACTTGATCCTCTCGGAAACAGGTGCAATGCATGCTGTTCTTAGCAGCATGATAAAATAAAATTGTCCTTCTGAGATTGGCAGTTGATTCAGTTAGACTGTATAAAGAGGGATTCACTCATTTTCAGTTCGCAAAAGAAACAGAGATATAAGGGTGAGTTTTGCTGGGAAGCGCATATGTGTATGGATAGACAGACAGATGGACAATAACCTTGCCAAAACTCCCATTGCTCTCTGCTTGCTGTAGAGCAGATGTCCACTGTGTGTTTTATATAGATATAGAAGTATATTTGGTTCATGCTCAGTACTATAGAGTATGTGCATTTGCTGTTTGAACCAGTTAAGTCTTTCCTTTCTGTGGTATCATGAAACCTTGGTGGCACTCACCATAAAACACTACTGTATAGATATATTTTCTTACACAACCCATCTCAAGTGAAATCAGATAAACCACAGAGATTAAATAGAGGGACTCTGGGACAGCAGGAATTCCTCTTAAGTCACCCTATACCTTCTGTATCCAGACTAATAACCAGCTCATTAATCAATGCCTATTTAAAATAGATTGAGTTTCAGATCACCTTCTCTGCAAGTAAGAGAGAATTGTTTCTCTGCTTGTTGTTCTACAGGTAGGAGAGGAATGTTTTTTTCTCATTTCCCCTCACACTCTTGTTCATTGTTTACAGCAACATGAACAACCAGTTGCAAATGTAGTTCAAAATGTGAGGATCCAAATAACACAAACACAGGATTCTGGTCAGTCAAGTTCACAGAGGCAGAATACTGGATCTTTAGCAGGAGGTGAAATATGAGTCTGTTTCCAGAAGAGGAGATAATAGAAATGGGTGGATCTTTTGTGAGGAGAAGTGGGTTGGACCTGTCCCCCTCCACCAGTCTTAGCTAGCCATCTTCCTATTCTTCCCTTCCTGAGAAAATCCTTCATGTCATTCTAAGGCTAGCAGTTCCTGAGTGTATTGGGCAAAATGATCAATAGGAAAAACAAGTCCCCTGATACAGTAAGAAACATTTAAAAAGCAGTAGCAAAGTGAATTCTGGCCTTAACTGTAGGAGGAATCATGTGGAGATTCGTATGGTGGACAATATTGTGAAAGGGTGTTGTTCTCTTGTTTGGTAAATGCAGTGAAAAATGCTACTTTTTTTTTTTAAAGGAACAATCTGTCAAAAGATTATAGTTCTCTTTCTGCTAGTGGTTTATGACTGTAAGTCAGTCTGAGATGCCACAAGAATGATTCTAGTGCACCATGAGTGGTGCTAGGTTAAACATGTTTAGGTCTGCATGGGTTTATCAAAGCATTGAGTGTGGAGGGAGAGATGGGGTCTGCACCTGCTAGGCTTGCTTCCCTTTCCACCCATGATTGGCTCAAGACATTTTGCTACCTGAGGCACTTCCTCACCTCCCTTCTGTCCCATTGTGTCTCTTTGTGAGAATCATGTATACTCTGAAGATTTGTTCACTCTTAATTATCAGACCCAGTTCCTGAGCTGTTGAGAGTGGGGCAAGGTGAAGGCAAGCAGCTCATTGCTCAGACCAGAGACGGATCCTGACTGGATGCTAAGTGAGATTATGCTGTGCTAAACAACACTAGAATTTTGCAGGAAATAAATTTAGTGATATATTACAGATATGTCAGCACTTGTGGACTGCAGTATTATTGTATATTTGATGGTAATGTTCAGAGCTAAGAGGCAGCTTTCCTCAGTCTTGTTTCCTGGCATGTTGTAAACTCTTGTTTGAAGAGAAGAATGAGAGTTTTGTCCTTTGATAACAAAACCTTATAACTGTGACCTTGATTAGGTTCTCAGAGACGGAGACTCATCCCAGCTTTATCCCTTGACACAACATCTCCGATAAGGAAACCTGCCAGCCCAGCAGTACGCTGGGTAGATGGACCTCTGAGAAGTTCCCAGAGAGGAATGGGGGAGCCCTTTGAGATCAAAGTCTATGAGATTGATGATGTGGAGCGGCTCCAACGACGGCGCATGGGGGACAACAATGTGAGGCATTCCTAATTTATTTCTGATCTTTAACTCGGAAGATGTTGATTCAATCTTACTATAACTTGTTCATCATATATGTGGGCTTCTGTCCAGCAATTCACTTGGGGTGGAAGTAGGGGTGGTTGAAGCAAATGAATAAACCCAATAGAATAGACAGAAATGTAATTCTCACAGAGATGGAATACCTGGCCAAATTCACACCTCCAAAAGAAGAATCTATAAAAGAATCCAATAATTCTGGCATTCACACAGCAACTACAATCCTAGCTGAAATTTGAGGTTCCCAAACCACATATCCATGTCTACTTCTGTACACAGAGAGCTTCCTCATGCTCCAGTTCTCTTCATCAGAGCAAATAGCCCCATGTGCAGATTCATATATGCATAGAGCTGTGACTCCCACTGAAGAGAATTGAATACCTTTGCAGAGAGGAGAGCTCTGCACAAAGGTACGCATGAGAAGTCTCTGGTCTGAGAACTGTGAATGTCCCGGGCAATTCAAACCACTGAAGAGATGGCCAGCTGTGTAGGCAAAAGGCTGAGTTGCTGGGTTTCCATTCTTTAGAGCCAGGAGTGTCAAAGCGCACACATGGCCTGAACTCTACAACAAGGGTGGCCAGCAATAACACCCTCTGAATCAAATGTTCATCAGCCCCCAAATAGCATGACCATTGGCCAAGGATGATGGAACTGAGTACAAGAACATCTGGAGGGCACCACGTTGGCTATTCCTGCTCTACAGGCAGTTTATATAAAATAAAATTGTGGGTCTTGCAGCAAGATCTCTTACCTTGTAGTACAGCATTTACTCAATAGGTGCATTCTGAAGTAAGAGGTTTCACAGCAGAAGTAAACATTTTGTTGACTCATGGATGGTCCCAACCCCACATCTAAGATAATAGGATTATGAAAGCAGATACTTACAAGAAGGATTGGCCAGCAGGAGGAAAAGGCACATAAGGCATCTCTATTGTTCCCTTGCATAACACCCTCACCTCTCCTGGGCTGTTTTCTCCCCGATTAGTTCATTTCTGATTTTAAATACCAGCCATGACAAAACACTGATCAGGTGGTATATTTGCAAGGAAGAAGAGGTGATGTTTGATTGGCTGAGTACATTTGTCATAACCACTGAATATTCCTACAAATGCCTATATTACTTCTGTGAAGGAAATAAGGAGTTGGGAACATCTAACTTCTAGCTCAGCCCCTCTGAGTTGCAGCCTCAAAGTTGAGTTTTTCCACTTTTCCTAAAGCAATCATCTTTTTGCAGTGACATAACAACCAGAGCATCTAATGAAATGTATTGCGGACTACAATGTATTTGAATAATATATTTTAACAAGTCATCTGCCGTTGAAAAGACCACAATAACCAATGAACCCTTCATTGTCAAAGGCCTATTTCTTTAATTTTTTGCTTCATTTCCTGAGTTTCTGTGATTGTTGCTACCAAATTAAAGTTAATTTGGCTGGGGAAGATCTAATCTGGCCTTTATTTCACACACCCTTCCCTTGACTTTCCTTTTCATATATCTTATTGAGCAGGAGGTGATTTGCTTCAACGCTAAACTGAAAATCTTGGAGCACCGGCAGCAGCGAATTGCAGAGGTCAAGGCCAAGTACGAGTGGTTAATGAGGGAGCTGGAAGTGACCAAACAGTACCTGATGCTGGATCCTAATAAATGGCTCAGTGAATGTAAGGTTTTACTGCCTATAGTTGGTTTATTTTATTGACACAAAACTTTACTGGTGCTGTAGCTAAGTCATGAACTACTATGTTTATAAGCAAAGCCTGTGCTGATGTTTGACCTGGAGCAGATTTGGATGGACTGCATTTCTAAAAAATGTTCCTGCATAATTCCTATTAAACTGTGACATTGGAACCAAGTGGGCCTATTTGCTCAAGAGTCAAAGCCAGGAATTATGCAGCATTCTAGTGAGGAATATTGCCATCACTAGATTAACGCTTATGCGTCTCACTCCAGAGCTTCTGAAAATGAGATTCCCCCCCCCCTTTGCCCTCAGATCCCTCAGACATATGAATTATATTTTAAATCTGCTCTCCTGCTGTGAAATAATACTTTCAGGCAAATTTGGTTGAAATGGCTTATGTAAGACATTAATTTGCTGTTTTTTCCTTTTACATATAGCTAGAAAAGGATAGAGTTCATACAGCTCATTCATAAAGAGATTAAAGAATCCCATATTCAAATTAGGAAGGATTCTTCTAAAGAAGCAAACAAAATGTATAAAAGATACAGCCAAAGCTGGCTAAATTAATAGGTGAGGGTACCTCAACTATAAAGGAAAAGGATTTTGCTGCTAGCTACTTAGAGCAGAGAATAACACTAAGGATAGGACTTTGGGCACCTGAAAAAGAGGGCTCTAATCCACAAAAGCACGTGTTGCAGCCAATCTGCTACTGCGCAATCCTAAAGTGGTGGTGAGCTCCCATGGTTGAGAAAATGCTATTTGACATCAGTGGGAAGGAAAATCTCTATGCCAACTCCAGGGCTGGTGTAGTTTCTGCCCTTCAGGGTGAGGGTCAATGTGCCCTACCACTAACAATGCACCACTGACAGGACAGAGCTTCCTGTGGATGTACCAGGCACTCCACCTTCCCACTGATGGAGGCCCTCTTTGTCACATCTCTTATGATGTGGCTTTAGGATTGTGGCCTTAAGTCTTTTATGTGCTGTGAAAGGTCCATAAAATATATTTTTTTAATGTGCTGCAAGGAATTTCATATTACTTGTTATGAGCATTTTCAACGGAGCCTGTACATAAGTTCACTTGCATGCAGATGGTGACTTCTGAACCTAGGAGCATTGTATGAGGACAACTGAAACAAATCTAACAATGTTCTTCCACTGAGGCCTGCTATAGAACCTACCTGTCATGGCATTGCCTGTTTCTTGCACAAACTCTTTCCTGTCACAGTTCTTTGAATCCATTCCCTTGAGTAATACACACACTTGTAATAGCAATGTAGGGCTTGCGCTACCAATTTGGGTAATGTGCTGGGCCTTTTGCTTCCTTTCCCACAGTTGATCTGGAGCAAGTATTTGAGTTGGATTCCCTGGAGTACTTGGAGGCTCTTGAGTGCGTGACTGAGCGACTAGAGAACCGTGTCAACTATTGCAAGGCTCACCTCATGATGATCACCTGCTTTGACATCACTTCTGGGCGCCGGTGAAGAATTAACCTCGAGAACATTTTGGACTACTGCCACTCCCCTTTCTCCCTTTTGAACAGCACCCCAAAGACCTAGAATGAGGATGAAGGTTGGTGTCATGTTTTGACTGTGTGTGGAAGAGATTTCCCCCCTCTTATTATGCTGAAGAGTGGTGCATACATTGACTAGATGATGATGATGATGAAAAGCAAAAACGCTGAGAAATAAGGATGTGGAATCTCCTAGCCTGAAAGAGCACTTTGAGAAATCTTTAAGGACATGTTTGTAAATAGGAACTGCTGGCAGAAGTGACTTTACCCCTCAACAATAGCTGTAGAGGGAGGAAGAGCAGATGTAGGACCGACTGCTGCTGAGAGCACCATTGAAGTAAAAATACACAGGAAGACTGTCTTAAGTGCCTTGCAAATCTTTATTATCCAAACATTTATGTTCATACTTTCTTGTGTACAGATGGTGCTAGTCAAGAAAAAGAAAAAGACAAAAAATCAAAACACATTTTCTGAAATGTATTTACAGCCTGTTTTCCCCTCCCTCGGTGTTTTATCCTATTTCTGACTTGCTGTTTCTACGTAACTTGTGTTTGTAGAGATATTTCTTAACCGATACAGCATATAAATAAATGTTAACTGTCATTTATTGTTACACACGAGAGTAAGGCCACTCAAAGAGAAAAAAGATATTAAACCGTGTACATGAAACCCAAAATATTTGATAGTAATGGAAGAGGAGAGGTCCACTTTGTTATTAAAGAACATAAATGTGAATTTTCTGGCAAAATAACAAGACTTCAGTTGACATCACTAGGAAAACAGAAGTCTTCACTGATTTTTTTGTTGGCTGTTACTTTTTGTACTAAGATTGTGGTATTTACACCACCAGTTTTCATGGATGCTCAAATGAAGATAATTACTTAATGTTGACCAGGTATCTTCATTGTTTTCAGACCCAGGGTCCACTTTTAATCCAAACATGAATTTGGGGACCAATTTCTTAATCTTTTACCTTATGCATGGTGGTGGTGCTCCTGTTAACCCACTAGCACATCTCAGTCCACCAGTTGAAGACCTGTGAGGCTGAATGACCACTGCCTCTTTTTTCTGAGGTGTGTCTAGGTTTGTCCTAGAGCTGCCTTCATTTGGTTACAGAGATACTGCAAATGATTCCCTACCTGTTATGGCTCTCGGTCTATGAACACTGGAATGGTTATGGTAGATCAGATCAGCATCCTTCTAGTTTGTGGAATTTACAGCAATCAGGTGTGGTGGTGGCCTCTAGTTAGGATGGATTTAAAAGGGATTAGGCAAATACATGGAGAGTAGTCAAGATTTCTATAGGGAACCTTTCGGTTGAAGAGGTCAGTAGGCACTGAATACCAGGTCCTGAAGCCACAACAAGGCAAGTCAGAGACATCCAGTTGAGCACATGAGAAACAGGATGCTGGACTAGATGGACCATTTGTATGATCGAGGAGTTTAGATGCACATCAATACACATCACAGCACCAGCCAAACAGCCCTTTTAAAAAGCTGCAAAACCTGTTCAGTAGAACAAGTAGATCTGCAAAAAATGAATCCAGCCCCCTTTCTCCTTTCTGATCTGTGAGCTACATTTTTAAAGAATTGAACAGCATATGTACTGCTCCATCTGCTGGATTGGGTAGGAGACTTTTTTTGCCATGTTTGATTCTCTGTCAAGGAGGACTGCTTCTGTATACATGTACATGTACATATATTATGGATCAGAACATAATACTTCAAAGGGGGAGAGTTAAATGGGCAACACCTGATTGCATCTTTGCTTGATAAACATCTTTCACTAACTCCAAAATTTGCCAATTTTATTTTTAGTAGTCATGCCAAGATGAGAAGCCACTTGATCCAGCTTTTCTCTTTTTCAGTAAGTTATTGTGAGACACAAAGCAAGGCATTCAGAAATACTAAACACCTAGTATCACAATTTACCTTCACAAATGCATTATTAAAAGTTCATCAGATTATTCATGAGTCATTAGAGGAATCTACAGTACAACATCAATGGCACAAATGTCTCACATCAGCTCTGTGTTCAGACAGACAAAGACTTCCAAAAGCCTGGCCCTAAAAACATGTGGTCTTCCCTGATTCAAGTGCACGAACAAAGTCTTTTTAACAACGGTAAAATTCTGATCTTCCTCTGAAATATGTTCTCACCTCACTTTCTTCTGACCCGCCTTCACATTCCTTGAAATTTCCTGCAAAATAAATATTCGCAAGTAAGGTAATTTCCCAAGGCCCAAGCTTGCAACATTTGCAAAGCTACTTCATGGGCTCTTGGTGCCTGGTAAGAACACATGTGCTGTTTAAGATAAGTTTGATAGATCAAACCAGGAAGGCATCATGTGCAAGTGTCACTTGCTGAATTACAGGCATAACTTGGAAGCACAAAATCCTAGGGTCAAATGAGATGTGATGATGGAGGATTGGGCAGTGTCTTAAAAGGCTAAAGGTGGTGTTCAGGTGCCCCAATGCTTCCTCTTTGGGAATTGGGAATGTAATACTTTCCCCCAAGCTATTTTCTAAACATAGAAAACATCTGAAACTATTTTCCCCATGGGGCAAAATGCAGCTCCTGAGAGGTAGAGGAGGGTGGTGGAAATACCATTCATATGTCCACATCATATACAATGTTGTAGATTAGTATGGTATTTTTTTGTTTGCTGTCCATGTCAAACAAACCCTCCCCCCAATTTTCCTTATTTGCATTCCTAAACACTGACATTAGAAAACAAGTAACAGCCATAGCACACACATCTTCTCACTTTGCTAAAAACAATAAGGTTAAGAGGGTGCATAGATAAACCGATGGAAATCTGTGTGGTGGTACAGCTATGTTTTATGTGTTTGAGTTAGGGCACCTACTTACAAGCAGCAAAGCATAACTTATGACGCTCATTGCAAAACTCTGTCCATAAAACCTTTACAGCCCCCACTCACCAGCAGGCTGGCCATTTATGCCACTGTATTTTATAGAAACTATATTTTAAAACGAGGGCTGTGTTATTATCTATGCATGTTCTCCTGCCTATAAAGCTGTGTGGCTGTATTTGCCTCGTATAAGCCTTTGAAAAATGGTTTAAACATTTATAAAAATAAATAGAAAAATGCATTTAGGTGTCAATAATTTAAGGTCAGGTGCACTCTAGACCTTTAGGATTAACTCTGTCACTATATGTATAATATAAACAGATAATGTGTGATCAAAATGGAGAGTGACTATTTGCTCCTTATAAAATGAAACAACATCCCTGTGCCTTTTGAGCCCCCATGCAGGCCTTCTCTAATTGGCAGAGGACTGAAGGAAAGCAGATGAGCTAAATTAGCTCACAAAATATTTCCCTGATCTATGCTGAGGGAAAGAGCTGTACCACAGACATTTTGGCATCAAGGCATGGAACAGTGATGTGCCTATGGCAAAGGGCATATATGATGAAAGACACATGCAAGCAACATCTAAAATGGTTATTGTTGATCATAAGCAACATGTAAAACATTAAGCAAACTCTCATTAAATGGTAACTGGCTACCACAGATGTCAGCGGGGAAAGCAGTGGCCCATATGCTCTGGTGACTGCACTTGGCGATCATATGCTGCAGAGCCTTGGCTGTGATTCTTTGGCTCATTCAACAATTTCCTAACAAATTTTTAGCTAATAACTTCCACCTTGCATGAAGGTTGCAAAATAATAGCTGAGCACCCATGATGCTTCATAGAATTTTTCCTCTGCTCTAGCTAATAGTCAAGAAATGAGAGCAATCAATTTTTTTCTAAACTATTTCCAGATGAAAGTTTTTATTTTATTTTATTGGAGCATCTGCCGCTGGCCAACTAAGCAGATGTGGCATGTTTCTCAAACTTCTGTTGTCAGACTATCCAAACTTGGCCACAAATTTGCCAGTGGAGTTGATATGAACTTCTTTTACGTACCATCTTGAGAATACCTTTTGCTACTGAATTCCTGGTACTCAGATTCAAGCATCAACTTCCAGCCTGCTTGATCAAAGTGGTCCAGGATGTTCCTGTTGCAGGAAAAATCCATGGTAGGTTATTTGAGCCCAAGCAACACCCATTCAAACTGACCTTTCAACCTCTCCCAAGGATGGAGGAGAGGATGCATTTTGTAAACTTTGAGTGGCCCTACTCAACTCTGGAGCATACTTTATAATAAAATGATGGTAATAAAAGTGGTGCTTAAAGCAGTTTCAGCTATATCTATATGACATATACTCTCTATATGAATTTAGCCACCTTATATATTGTATAATATGCGTGTGAATGGGTATCTGAATAAAACACTCACTCGCCTAAAGATTTTATGTACACATAGATACTACTTTTTCTAAATTTCAGCTCCTTCCCCAATTTCCTTAGCTGAAACTGCTATCTGACATCCATCACCTATTTGACGTATGAAGGACATAATTTATTTGTAAACTCAGGATGTTCTTGCTTTATAGAATTGCTTGTACTTTATAATTTATTTAACCATCATGATTGGAAATGCTTATCTAAGTGCTATGCATTGAAGTGTACATTTGCTGAATCCATTTCATTCTGTCTGTGGCTATGTCCTTTTCCATAGTAACCGTGGTATAATAAAGTCACGTAAGGTTGGAGAGAGATCCCTGCTAGGGGGAATCACTTCTACTGAGTCAGTCACGAGAAGTTCCACAAGAAGACAGATCTACACACTAATCGTCTGCTATATCACCTAAGCTCCATTACAGGGGTGGGGGACTTCTTCCAGACCCAGAGCCACATTCCCATCTGGGCAACCTTCCAGGGGGTCAGCCACATGCCAGCAATGGGTGGAGCCAGAGACAAAAGTGGCCGAAGAGACAAATGTAAATGTTACCTTTGTGCATGCTAGCTTCCATGCAAACGTACCCACCATTCCTTGATCCAGGCAACCGAGAGGCATTGTCGGGGTTCAAAGACCCATTCCAGTCAAGCAAGATCACTCAAGGAGGGCTGGCGAGGGTTGGCCTAGAGAGAGGGGGGGATGTGGCCTGAGAAGAGTCCTGGGAGCCAGACAGAGTGGCCTGGGGGGCAGCACTTGACCCCAGAGCCTCTGAGGTTCCTCACCTCTGCTTTGCTGGAAAAAGAACCAACAGGGAGGGGGTGGACCCAGACAGCAGTAGGACAAGAATGGAAAAGTAACCGAGAAACACACACAAAATGGAAACTGATTGAATGAATATGTCAAGCCTTTTGCCATTAAAATGTAAAGTTCACTGTTTGCTGGTTTAAAAAAAGAATCTCTTACCTTTTGTGGTATATGAGGTGTGAAACATATTGTCAAAGATATGATGTTTAAAAGATATCAAAATATAGTGGCATTAAATGTTTACTTTTATCTTACCAATTCTTGTGCTTCCCTGGAAGTCTTCCTTCAGTGAAAACACTTGGTTCCTTCCCACAGGTTTCTGGAGCAGATTTTTGCCAGCGAATAATGCAGCATTAGAAAGTTACTTTAGGAAATGTGCACATGAGAGCCAGCACTGCCTTAAACATCCAATAGGAATTGGATTCTTGCTGATTCCACCACAGGCTGGCTAATTAAATGATTCCCCAAGCAGTGGCGTAGCGTGGGGGGTGCAGGGGGGGCCGGCCGCACCAGGCGCAACATCTGGGGTTAGGGCAAATCCACGGGTTAGGGGGCGCAAATCCACAGGTTTGGGGGCACAAATCCACGGGTTAGGGGGCGCAAATTACTTGCCTTGCCCCGGGTGCTGACAACCCACGCTACGCCGCTGTCCCCAAGGAAGTAAGAGTCAAGTAATAGACATTTTAAGGGATTAAAAGATTTTACCAGTAAGGTTACTATTTACTAGAAGATCACTGGTTAATACCACTGTGGGATCTAAACAAAAGATTGCTGGGAAGGACTAAGATGATGCCCAAATCTACATTTCCTCCCATCCTCAGCTATGTATATTGGTAAGGCCAAAACACTCATAGATTTGGCCTCATAAAAAGCAATCCAGTCACCTGGTGTTCCACAAGCAAAGCCGCATCAAGAAACACCCTCTCTGCTTTATCATTGTGCTACTGGACCACAGCTTCACACGTCCACCAATTAGTCTCCTGCCAAAAAAAATGAGGTAAGGAGAAAAGTGATCACATCAGTTCTGGAAAACTCAATTCCAGTAGTGCCTCAATTAGCACTTCATCTCCCAACTTTTCATTAATGAAAACAGGCACACCCTTGGGTGTTTATCGCACCCCCAGAAACACAACAAGGATCACTGCCTGCAAGCCTTGCCATGTACAGTATCAAACATTGCTGACATTATATACTCAAATACATCCAGACTTCCAGCCTGCTCAATGCACGGTAGTGATGGAGCTGAACACTTAATTTCCCTTCCACTGCAATTCCAGTTGCAGAATGGAAGACCCATGATTAAGACTGCTAACTCGACAGGCTAACCCCTGAGAAAGAAAAGATTTAATCCCAAGCATACAATGTTTTAATACATACGTTTAAAACTGCATGTTGACTAGCACTGATGCTAAAATCGGAAAAATGAGGAACAATGTCATGGGTGGGAGGAGAGAGAGAAGAGACAAAAAACAATTCTCAACAGCCTGGTGACAGCTGTAGTCAATCAATCAATTTCTTACAGTCAATGACCAGTATTAACAGCTGTAGCCACTTTTCCTGTTTCATTGTCTAAGATTATATACTTTGGAAAATACCACAACCAGGAAAATAGCAAAGCAGAATAGCAACAGTATTTCTGTACTGGCTATCCCACCACCCTGTCACCAAATGTTTTTTTTTCAAGATCAGCAGCAAACATCCCTAACAGGTAATTATTTATTAAATTTGTATACTGCCCTTCATTCAAAGATCACAGGGCAGTGCACAACGTAAAAATACAAAATGGGAACACAAGACACATTTAAAAAACAACAACAAACTAAGTAACCCTCCACTCCTAATAAAGAAGAAGATGAGTGTTGTGTTGAGCGACTTTTGCTGCCCTAAGAGAGGACAGCTTGGATTGAGGCCAAGGCTGTGTCTTTGGGCCTCAGCAGCCTAAGCCGCTTGCCTTCCAAAGGTTATCTGTGAAGCCACCAGCTAAATTAAAATTAAAATTCTGGCGTTTGCAGTGAAATTTGTTGGAAGGCACCTAATCCTTGGAATTTTCAGTGCTCATTTGATCCCTGTTTAGGGCTGTAAGCAGAAACAATAACATCCCCCAAAAGGCAGTGGCTAATCCCATTCTGTTTGCAATTCAAAACACTTTCCAGTGTGATTTATTGACAATGAAATATGCACCAATGTGAGTGGGACCAATGTGATTTACAGAACATGTTCAGTAACAAAATCTGTCAAAGATTAAATTAAAATCCCAGCCTAGCAAGCAAGTCTCTTGCCTCTAGGCCTAGAGTAATGTACATAGGCAAAATATTGATTTTGCATAGAGACTGAAGCTTTATTTTGACTGATGCAATTCGGAATTGTTATTGCCATACGGAAAAGAGTTGATGAGATTTTTTTCCAGCCAAATTCAGTTGGGCCACAACAGCATTCATGCTCCTGTATCACCAGCACTTCCAGACACAGCCAACACAAGGACATTTGTCAGTGCTGGGAAGTTGTAGATCTTGTTAGTTCGGTTTCTTTGTGTGGCAGGTAAAGAAGCAAGAATGCCTCATCTTCCCTACCTGGTGATACCGCTGTACAACTCTCATACTTCTGTGGTTAATAAAGATGATTAAAAATATGTGCTTTTAATCATCCTTATTAAGAATGCTTTTAATATTTCTCTGCCCTGTTAAAAGCATAACACCTAATTAATACATCGATGGATTTTTATGTTCCATTTTTACAGCTGTATTTCTGACTCTCGATAATCCTATGTTCGGCTTCAGATCTCTTTCTTTCTGATTCCTACTTCATCTGATGCTTGTTATTATTCAAGTGGCAGACTTTGTACTTCAAACTATTAAAATAACATTTCAGATGCCTGCACAAGCACAGCTGTCTATCCACTTCCTAATCCCAAACTGTGATAAGCAGAAAGAGTAAGGGGGAGGGGAAGAGAAGATTCACATTCCTGATCAACCATTAAGTCTGCTAGGTGACCTTTGGGCCAGTGACAATCTCTCAGCCTAACCTACCTCATAGTATTTTTGAAAGGATAATATGGGAGAAAACCCTGCACCTAACATTTTTGGAGGAGGTACAAAAAGGTAGTAAGCAGAACTAGCATTTGTAGCCATCATCACTTGGGAGGACTATAAAAATATGATGAAACACATTGTAAGTAAGTCTCTCTACTGCACAACCTGGAGTTTGCTGCCACAAAAGAATCCTGTTCTTTTGGTTGGGCTTCTCTTTTGTAAATGGGGACAGAGATTTCACTCTATCTACAGCTAATAAGAAGATATAGGAGTTCCACCGGTCCAGATGTGAGATGCGTAGTGATTGTTGAAAAGACTAAGCCCTCAAAAATCTGGATGCTTCTCAAATTTGTGATGCTATTGATTTAACGAAGCTCTTTGCAGGTGTGATGAAACATGGACAATTAGTAGCTAACATCGGGATCTTCTATGAAGCTGTTTTGGCTTACAGAGAATCATATCATCAGGTGTTCACGTCACTGATTGACTTGGCTTCATTTCAAGCTCACATGTGAAATCCTGGGTGTGGTACTTATTTATTTTTTAAACTATCTTAAAGTATTAGAATGCCTCAAAAGAGACGACGTTAAGGACCATTTCTGAATTCACTCCCCTCCATGTTCTTGAGTTGCAGACTTGCCATAAAGGGCAAAACGAATAAATATTCATAATAAGTGCAAAATGGTATGAAAGGCAATTTCAGATTGTCTACATTTTGCCATAAATTCTTGACTAATTCTCACATAAAAGGCTTTAGAAAAAAGGGGGAAGGGGACAATCACATTCTATCTCTTCTTTACAATGACCTTTTAAATATTATTATTTATTGGTTCTTTTTGCCACTGATTATTCAGAAATGAATCTTCCGGCTTCCCAATGGCGAGGCATGATGAATTACTTGCTCTGGCAGTTGTGAACAGAACAGTATTAACCCTCCAGGAATGCCAATTTTCTATCATGCTGTTTTTTCTTATAGCTATAGGAAATACATACAGAATGGGCTTTTGCAGTACTTCGTTTTAACATCTGTAAAAGGAGATAAAGGAGGGCACACAGGCATGAGGTATATCAGAAAATCTAGCTATGTAATAATTCACTAATTTATTATTACATTTACTTTCTCTCCAAATAGCTCAAGTTGGAATGTTTTCCTCCTCCTCCTCCTTTTATCCTCACAACAACCCTGTGAGGTTGTTGAGACAACCTCATTGAGACACGGCAGGATCGGAAATGACATATTCACCCATCCGATTGAGAATAAAACTTATTTTTCCTTTGCCACAAAGCGGGGGGGGGGGGGACCACTCATGTTTTGATCCTAATATACAGGGCAAAACCTGGAGACCCTTAGAAGTGTACCCAACCCCACTAAAATCAATTAAGTTTTAGTCTGTTTATTTATTTATTGCCTGGCTACCTTATGGAACATAGTTGCCCCTCCCTCCGAGGCAATATGCACAATTTCATAAAAAGGCAACAAACCACAATAACTATACATTACAACCCATTCAACAGCAGGAATTAACACATCAAAAAGGAAAAGTGGGGGAATGAATTTCTTTCTTCTTTTCATTTTCCCATCTTGAAATCTTCAGAGAACTTGAAGACACTCATATTTCATGGGGGACTGCATTTCCAGAAGTGTGGGCCCACTACCCAGAAGTAATGTCTTTGGTGTAGCAGACAACATAATACCTTGCACTGATAGAGCAGAGAACAGGATCTCAGTGGCACATTCACTAAAGAGCAGGTATGTGCCAGCAGCTTCGAAGATTTACAACCCTGAATGATTTGAACTGAAGGGCATGTGAATTTCCCTGATTCTGTGGCTTTCCATGGCTTCCCCTACTTTTTGCCTTTTAAGAAGGAATAAAGATGCAGCAGTCACTGAGAGAGTGAATCTGATCTTACTTTATGAGCGCAGATGACCCACCCGTAGACTCAAGGAGAAAGCATTCTACTGTGGTAAAGGAAGCAACATAAATGATATTATATGACAGTCAGAAAATCTCCTCTTGTTAGATGGTCTTACTGCTGATGAGCAGCAGCAGAGCCTCGTGCCCACAGTCTAGGCTGCCACTCTCCAATCTTCCAACAAATCAATTCTGCTGACTTTTTTACTCCCTTGGCTGCCACTGATATCGTCTGTGATGAATTTAAGGGAAGCTGTCAGATCAAATGCAACAGAAAATGTAGTTTCTGTGAAACTTCGGCGTGAGGAGCAA